CCTCTGCTTTTCTCAGTACCAGAACTGCTTTGCCCAAGCCTTGATCACCTTAAGACATTTATTGTAGCATCTCGTTGATGATTCCAGCCCTTCTGAAACAAGGAGGAACGATAGTTTTCTCTAGTTGACTCTGAATATTCTTCTGTTATTTACAAAGCAGATGTTGCTCCCACTATGCTTTCCTGCCTGTTTCGTGAAAATATTCTTGCTTATTACTTTAGATGTCCTGAGAAAAAGATGCTTGATTTAAATTACTGTCTTTGCCAAGAAAACTTGACATCTCTTCAAAACTGTTTATAGCCTAGCAGATATGAACTATTTATTTTTGTGCGAGTATACTTTCTGCTTAGTGAAACTACAAATGTGGTAACCATAGTTGAGAAACACTTAGAGGTGAACTGTTCAAGATTTAAGGAGAGGAACACCTGAACGATGCCAGAGGTTTAATGGCTATATTCTCTACAAAGCTAAGCAGCACCTCTTTCTCTGATACTGAGATTTTCCCTCAGAGGCAGAGTAAGAAATACTAATTTCAGTTGTGATAAACAGTAGGTGAGATTTAAGGCTGAAAGATTTAGAAGCTATTTCTGTAAAGGGGGAAGGTGAACACAAAATTCTAGTGCCATGTAATGGAATTGACAAAACAATTGCAAACAGAACTGTAGACTTTGGATTAAAGTTCCCGTGAAAGCAGGTGGTAGACAACAAGGTGGATTGCTTATCACTGATTGTCTTCCTGCCCACCAGGAGATGGAATCCCAACAGTGTTTGTTGCAGTTGCTGGCAGAAGCAATGGCTTGGGGCCAGTCATGTCTGGTAATACTGCTTACCCAGTTGTCAACTGCCCTCCACTCTCAGCTGACTGGGGCACTCAGGATGTGTGGTCCTCTCTCAGACTACCCAGTGGTAAGATGATCTTCAATTTATGCTCCTGTTCTGATCTAGCTCTATTTTTTTTGTTCTGGTATACACGCATGTGGAAAAGTAGCTGGACCAGTACTGAGCAAAGTCTTTAGAAATATGTTGTTTGTAGTCTTTGGACTTCTTCATGACAAAAAGCCCAATAGACAGAGCAAGGATTACATAGGAATAGTCTTTAGAAAAATATAAACCTTGATTTATCCTTGCTAAATATTCCAGTACGAAATTGGAAATAGTACTAATGGGAATTTAAATATTTGAATTTTGTTGAGTTTTCCTTATTACCAAAGATCAAATAATACTTAGGATAGGTGAGACCTCAACACTTAAATATTACTTCAGTGCATTGCTAGCTGTACAGTTTTTAACTTTGTTAGTGACTTGAATGGATGCTTGGCAAACAGGGGACCCAGAAGTCTGTTACCTCTGTATAAGGGGAGTCATTTGGTTTGATGGCTTTTGGTTTAAAATGCCATGGAGCAGTCGTGTTAGAAGTAGTGGAATATCTGGTACTTCACTAGCTTTAAAACTGGATCATTGCACCTGGAGGCTGTAAACAAACCTTGTCTTAAGTTGTTCTTCAGAGGCAATGTTTTGACTGTAAACTATGCTTTAATAAGTGGCATTCTCTTCTCTGCAGGTCTTAGCTGTCCTACTACTCTGTCACCTGAAGGAGCTGCTCAGTTTGCTGCCCAGATATTTGGGTTAAACAACCATTTGGTGTGGGCCAAACTGCGATCAAGCATGTTAAACACCTGGATCTCCTTGAAGCAGGCTGACAAAAAACTTAGAGAGTGCTCCTTGTAAATCATACTAACAAGTGACTATTATTAGTTACACAAAGAAAACGGCGTGCATATTCATTCATATTACGATTTGCATTTGAATGAGCTCAAAAGTCCTGCATCATTTCTTGCAGAAGAAAGCATTGTTAGAGCAGAAGATGAAGTCTGTGTCCTCATCCTTCCCTTGTGTATTTTTTTAATATAACAACTAAGTAGAGATGGGGAAGTAGTACTTTAGGTATCTCTTTCTGTTGCTCCAAAATGGTGCTGTTCTGCTTTGTAGTTTATACTACAGACTATGTCAAGAGAATGCTTTGGTGCGCTCTCAAATAGAATTCAGCTAGTCTTCTGTATTTCTGTAACAGTAATATTCTTCCGTACTATTAATATATGTCTTGAACCTTATTAATTCAACTGGACTGCTGACTAAAGCCAGTGCTGATGCTGTTCTGCTTGCAATGATGGTATGCTTTCTTTAGCAATAAAATGGCAACATCTGCTGTATTAATAAGAAAAGGGGGTGGAAAAATATTTTAAGAGCCTGAAATAAATACATGCCTTATTTAAGAAATGTATATACATACATGTATCTTTTTTTAAAATATGTGTGTGTATATGTACCCCACTGCTATCTTTTGGAATGATGTGATGTTCATAAGAAGCTATAAATACAACTGGCTTAAGTGACCTGTAATTTGGCTTGTTGCCTGTTTGCTGTAACTTTTGCCTAGTCTGGGCTTTGTCCTTTTAAATACTAGGTAGATCTCTACTTTCAGTAGTTCTAAAGGGCCTATGTGATTATGTCTTCATACACTTCAATGACTCTAGCTATTATATATCTCTATTTCCTCACTCTGTTTCTATGGAAACTTAACTGAAGAGGGGAATAAATACTAATGCAACAAACTACTGGGGGGAAATCTAAGCATGACTTATCTTTGCACACACCAGTCTTATGAGTAGGTACGATTCTAACAAATATGCAGTTACTCAATGTATGTAACATTTATGCTTTTACAATTATAAATAAACTACTGAATGCAAAGCTGCCTCATGCAGACTTCTTGAAAAGTACACTCAGAAGTAGCCATCAGCTCTGGTATATGCTAAAGCCATCAGCTTTAGGACTTAATGATAAAAAGCTTATGTGCTAAAACCTGCCAGGAATGCCATTATGTGACAGCCTTCTGGAAGATACCATGCTATTGATAAAGTGTCTCAGTGTTACAGGAAGCTGTGTTGCTTTGTTCCTAAAGTACTGCTCTATGATGGTAGTCTAGTATGTCAGGCTTACCCCTAATGTGAGTAACTGGACTAAATGCTGCTGCTGTCCTTCTTCACAGGAAGGGACTGCATCTTAGATGTATTTGTACAGAAGAGCTCTGAGCAGTGCTCCCTTAAATGCAAGGGTTTTAAACTGGTCAAAGCTTACACTAAAGCAAAACAACTAAAACACTTCTTAGGCTTGAGGGCAGTTGCTTTTCTAATAAATTTTTAAGTAAAGTATCAATAATAGTGAGAGCTAGTGCTGAACAAAGAGGTTGAAATTCCTTTGTGGCATACTATCACTGACTTAGAAGTGAAGATCCTCAAGACTGCAATTTTTTTCAGCGAGCAAACTATTTCCCAAGTTTGTACTTGCCTGCATACTTAACCATGGCATATCTGAAAGCATGCTGTCAGCTAGCTCTCCTACCAAGACAGTGGTATTAACTTTGACTATTAAAAGAATTAATGGGTGAAAAGACTCCATGCTCTTAGTTTGCTTGGGTAAGTGAACTGGATCATCTTGTAATCAGACAAGCACCAAAGCCAACAACTTTGTGTGTTGCAGCGCTTCTTTCTCCTAGTGGCAGTAGTCTGCTAGCTCAGCTACATAACAAAACAATACACAGCCTGAGGGTGAAGTTACACAAGAGGTGAAGGTGTCATTTCCTATTCCTCTCTAGCCAGCACTACTCTGGGTGTTGGCTCTGATGGGTAATCAACCTGACAAGCTTATTAGTCACCTGACCACCCTACCACCATGGTGAGATAGACAACTGCAGCCAGCCACTGCTCTCTTCTTCCACCTTACATTGCTGTGCTGTTTTGCTTTTTCTGTACAGTCTTCTCCCATGTAATAAAAATTAGTAACAGATGATGATTTATTACACCTGGAATATTCTGTTCAGTCTCTAGTTACCTTTCTCAAATTACTTTCACTCTGATTATACAAACTTCATTTGTAAGATTGTGCCAATTTATCTTGGGCATGAGCATGCAAGTGCTTTAGTTGCCATAGAAATGGTCATTCTTCAGCTTTGGATGGGGTGTGTTGCTTGGTTTTTTTTTTTTTGTGCAGTCTGTACTGAACTCTCGGAAGCAAATCCTTGCTTGAGCAGCTGCCTTGCAAAGAAGCAGTAAGACAGCAGCCAACATAAACAGTGTGTTGCTGTGATCAGCAGACAAAACCTGCAAAGTCTATCATATCTGCAAGGACTTAATGTAGTTGTCCTAAAGGCCAAAGCATTGCATATCAGTGGTTTAGTTCAGCTGGAACTTCTTCACAAAGTTTTTGCTGTGAAATGAACATAATTCCCCTTGATTCAGCATTTCAACTATTACATTGATGCAATAACGTGAAAATTGCTTCAGTCAGAAACTGCTATTGTAGCCCTTGCGCTTTTTTTGGTCTAATTTTAAAAACAATCCCAACAAATTCTTACTTTAAAAGTGCTTTTATCTTCACAGAAAGTATTACATAGAGCAGTTACCAAAGTTTATTTGTATTTTGTAAATTGAGTTGGAATACCTGTAATGGAAGTCTAATTTTTAAGCATCTGCTGTGGAACCTAGGACCCTGAATTAGATCATGTCCTAATTAGCAGAGTTGCCTGCTTAACAGTATATTTTATTTAAAGATATTAGCAAAGAACTTTTTGGACTTAGCAGAGGGAAGTGCTGAGGGCAGAACTTGGTTTACATCCTACATTGCTTCAGGTACAGGTGAGTGGCACCTGGTGCTCAGTTTTTATATCACTTTGTTTCCAAAAAAATCCAATCTCCCCCAAAAAACATTCTGGAAAATGAGGGGGAAACAAAGTCACTGCTCCCACTGGTTTGTCATCCATCCACAGCTCAAAGGTTAAAGTGCCTATCTGGAAGACCGAAAGTAGGGTTTCAATATCCACTGCCTGGGCGGAACTGTAAAAGTGAGTTGAAGGCCAACGATGTGCTTTAGGCTTCTTGGGAATGGCATTAAGGCAGTCTTTGTTTTAAACTAATTTATACTCAAAGAAAAAGGAAGGGAAGATCTTAATTTCCCTTTTTACCCCCACACTGTCTCAGTTTATTTCCTTAAATAACCACAACAGAGGTTGCCTCTAGAGCTTTGGGTTTCTGCCTCAGGAGTCTTGTAGCAGGCCTCAGACAGGTTCTGTTAACTTTCTTCTGTATGGACATCATGACATGTCAGTTCAACTGGAGTGGGGAGCTTTCTGCAGGATTCACTTCCTGAAAGAGTATACTCTGAGTGTAATGATCTTAGAATATTTGTTGTTCCATGTGGAAGGTAAAATTCAAAGCGTCTTTTAAGAAGGAATGAAGATGTATTTGCATGGAACTTGGTAAAAGAATTAACTGCAACAGCTTTTATCTCTCCCCTCCTGCTGACAGATGTCATCACCAGTAGGAGGGTATCTTCACAGAAAAACAGTACAGCAAACAAGTTGCCAGAAGCTCAACAGATGCTTGCGAATATCAAGCATCAAGTTCAAGTCTTTTTCAAGGACAGAGCTTTCCACAGAAAAGAACAGGCTGTCCTTCACTCGTTGCTTCCCAGACTTTGGGACTTCATCTAGCAGGCAGCAGTTGGCTGAAACGTCTGATAAATGGGTCTGATACACTGGCAGGGGAAATAGGAGGGGCTGTGGCAGTCCCCCCAAGAAACCCTCAGTCAGAACTGAGTCAGGTCTGACGCAAGAGGGGGAAAAATAAAAATATAAAAAAAGGATAAAAGAAACATCACCACTCCCCCCTCCCCTTACAGCACTGTAAGGTAGTAGCCCACTTTGCCAAGCCCCTTGTATAGCTCTTTATGCTGATAAAAACATTCCGAGCTGACAGACCAGAAAGTTCTTGAGTGCAAGGAACCAACAGTCACTCAAATAGATAATATAATTAAGTATTTTAAGATGCCAAGCTCCAGAGAATTTCTGTTTGGATTGGAAAGTGACTGTATTTGTCTTAATACAGCACAGCCTCCAGTTTCCCATTACATCATTTCCCTTTTCTAACACACTAAACATCTAGTAAATGGCCAGCTTCCCAGCTAGTACAGGTTCATATTCAGTCTGCTTTAAAAGTAATTTCCAATATAGGACGTTCTTCCATCTTATTTACCAAACGAAATCAAACCCCTCAACTAGAAGTGTAATGACTTCTTTAGCAACTGCTTTCTCTTAAACATTCAAAACTTTTTGTCCTAGAGAGCCTGCCACATCCTCATAAGCGCTCCTGACTGCAATAAAGCTACATCATACTATCACTAGTGCAATTATTTTTTTAAATCTATGGTGAAATCCCACTATTGGCCTTTGCTTGTAAAAGCAGTCACAGTTATGAGTGTCCAGGAAAATATAACTTCACAAAAAAAATCAAGGCTCAGTGAACTCTGTTTTGCTTTGTTTTGATAAATGCCTGAGAATAATTTATATCCTAGCATTGAATGTTTTACAGCTTTGGAGTTTTGGGGTTTTTTTGGTTTTGTTTGATTGTTTGTTTGCTTGTTGTTGTTTGGTTTGGTTTTTTTGCCTTTTTGGTTTGGTTTTGTTTTGTTTTTAATTTTAGAAAAGCACATAAATGAGAAGATAATGGGCAGATTTCAGTGTGATACCAAGTGGCATGGATACAATCTTCCTTGTACAGGTATCTCTTATCTACTAAGTGGAGTTACCTTCTTCCCATTATAAATCCAATTGTAAATAGCCAGGTCTGTACAGTCAAAGTCAGTACTGAAAAAGAAACATTTTAGCCTTGCACAGGTGCAGGCTGGGCAGTTGTGGTTTGTCTACTGCTCCTGAGGACCTGCTCAAAGCTGAAGTTTAACCATTCTCTCTGGGAATTGCTGCTGCCCCACTGTCAAGCAAGCAGAGCCTTGCACTACAAGGCTCCCTCATGCTGTTGTCCAGAAGACTCAGTTGTGCAGATCAGCTCTACCATGTCTTATGTGTAATTATTGTGAGTCTAAAGCAAAATCTGAGTATTTAGTAGATATTTACCCCATCCCACATATACTGAAAGGAATGGATTAGATCACTTATAAAACCAAACGATGACAATCTTTCTAAAGCCTCTAGCAACATTTGAATCTGACCTCATCTTTCATGGGGTTCAGAGCAAACACTTCTTCCCAGAGAACTAATGTTCTAGCATAGCTTCAAGTATCCCCCCCCCCAATATCTTACAACTATCTTTGCATACTGTCCTTAAAGAAACCCAGAACCAGTAACTTAGAAACCAGAAACTTAGGCCCATAGAGAAATGATTAGCTAGAATGACTGTGACAAATATTTGCCAATTGCCAAAAGAGAAGTTAGATGGAGAAATGTGAAGTTGACATTTCATACCAAAAAAGCTGAACATTGGTTCTCTCCAAGGGCTCAAAGTTGCTACAAAAAATGACATTTGGTAAGAGTAATGAGACTAGAGGTGAATATTAATCATAAACTAAGAATTTCAGCGAGATCTCTGGCCACAACTTAGCAAAACTGGGAACAGGTCCTTGCCAGAAACATTTGAAAAATACACATCACTTCTGAGCAGACAGTTCTCAGTACAGTGACTCCAAACCCTCATGTTAAAGTTTACGACCTTTCTCATACTAACATACATGCACATCCAATTCACTTATAGCTATTTATGGATCACCAATCTTTTGAGACACATTTAGTTTTGTTCTCACACTTACATAAAGAACATTTCTCCATCAACTTGTCAATCATATGACTGAACAAAGAAAGCACAATCTTGTAAATAACAATAACTTGGGGTAGTTTTGTTGGCTGGTCCAAGGGTGCGGCCCAGAGAAGGAGACCTCCTTTTGTCATGAGAGAAAATGAGAGCTTGACAATTCTCTTGGCTGTTGCTCCTCATCAGGTAAGTCTAATCATTTGAGGTGTTGTACCTTGCCTACACAGCAAGTGAGCTTTCCCCTTTTCCCTATGCCTAGTTCACTTGCATTCTGCTCAGGCCTAATTACATTGATTTTCAACCTTATTATAATAATAAAAGGTGATCAAACTTTATCCTTAGTCAGTTGCTATTTATTGTTTGACAGCTAAAGAACCCTTGCTGTGTGATGGGGGGGATAAAAAAATAATTGTAAGAATAAGAAGATACTCCCCAAATTCAAAGTATGATGTGCAAAGTACAGCATAGTATCTCTCCAAGATACTTACTGAAAGGGCTATGCAAACATTCAGTCAAGCTTGTTTTACTGTCTCATTCTAACTGCACAAAGTGATAAAATCTGGTCCACAAAACATTCACTTAAAAAAATTCCAACTCGAAAAACCTCTTAAAAATCTTTCGTCCCCACTCACAATTTTCTATCACTCCCAAGAGCACATACAATAATCACGTCTGTGGAATAGCTACCAAAGAGTATACTTACAACCAGCCTCAATGCAACATGTGTTAAACACAGTTACTTTCCTTTTTATGTTGTTGCTGTTTCCTTTTAATAATGTTTTACCTTACGTAGTTTATACAATTCCAGAAATAGAACACACTTAGGTACAGGACAGTGCAAGCCAACTGATACTTTATCTGAATTTTTACCTTATTAAAAAGTCATGGGAATGTATAAAAACATTTAGAAACCACATCTTCCAGCAGAGTAGGGAATACTCAATTTCAAAACTAAGGCTCTTGGTAAGAAGAAAAAAAAAAAATTACCACTAGTTTATTTGGGTATTTCCAGCCTGGCTACAGGGACTTTTTGCCGCCAAGGTAAAAAAATCCTGCCACCTACATTCTTAAGAAGATCATGGTGATGCAAAGATTAAGTTTCTAAAGTTACAACATATGGAAGTGGAGAAATAGAGGATTCCATTTCTTCTTTTATTATGCAAATAAAGCGTTCTAAATATTAATCCAGGATTTTATTCGTACCATAAATGGAAAATTTACCCTAGATAGAAAACCACATTAAAAATGATCCAGCAGATCTTGGGCTGCCTGTAATATCTCAAACCTTGGACCCCCGAAGAGAACAAGGCCAGAGCATCTGACTAACAGCTCTCACTGTTCTGCAAGAACAGATTCCCACAATTTCTAAGTTTTGCGAAATGCAAACTTCATACCTGATTTAAACAAAATAGATAGAAAAGCAGGCCACCAGCAAAAAACTTGTCTGACCAATAATCAGTCTGAGACAGGTGCTATAATCAGAAACAGATTATGTACATACCAGTTACGTCATGAAGTGCTCACAACCTTAATGTAGGTTAAACAGCAGCTTCTGGATGTACTTAAGATCCCAGAATAGAGGCATATGAAAAAAGAAAGTGATTTTTAGTTTCTGATAAAGTTTAAAATATTACAAACTTTCAGCTTTTATTGAAAATTAAATATATTAGCAAAAGCAAGATTTAAGAAATATTTTACAAATGATTTACATACAAGAAAGCCAGTATCAGACATATTCACAAATATGCAAACTTTAATTACAAAAAGTACCTATCGGCAGCATGATGCTAACCTTGCCACTGCAGTGTGCTCTACTATTGATATGAATAAGGCATAGAACTCACATTTGCACCAACTTAAAAAGTTCAAATAAAAACTTTAAGCTTTTGAATCTTGGATGCACAACCCCCAACAGACGCGCGCGCACACTCTTAAGATTTCTTCTTCTAAGCTCTACAAACTAAGTGTGTGCTCTGGAAGAACTGCCAGCCTCAAAAGTCCAGTAGAAATGTAACTGGTACTAGCATTTAGATTTCAGTTTCCTCTTCAACATGTACAGGCCTAAGTATGTAAACCATATTCACAGTTTAAGTATTTTTAGACAGAAGTACCTTTTTTTTTTGCATTTGTTCCTTAAAATAGGCTCCCAGTTCAGCATACAGTTCATAATGTCACCTATTTTGTGATGCATACAATTACAAGAAACTTAAAAATCTGTGCCTCATTCATGGTCAAGATAATTCAACAAGAGTAGTAATATCCAACTGTAACATTCAATACTATATTTCAAATATTTGTGCAAACAGCAAAAGAACAGTTGTATGAGGCAAACATTTGCAAAACCTTTAATACCTCCTCAGTGCTGTAAACTTGGACTGTCAGCCTTAAGTCCTGCACTTCCACAGCTTAAAAAAGTCAGTTGCTAAAATGATCAAGTCTCAAAAAAGTTCTCTTCTACATAGTGCAAATTTTAATGTAGATAATGTGAAAAACATATCTAGCTGGATTGACTTTGTGCAATCGTCAGTGGTCTTCTCTCATAGTTGAAGAAAGTGTGCATTCAAAGAACCACATGGTTCAGGAAGTGGAGAGGGTGGAGAGGAGAGAAAAAACAGTTCCATTACACTTCTCAAACCAGTACTAGATGTGCAAAGGCAGCAAAAATTCCAGCTGCTACTACAACCAGAACAGAGTAACTTTTCAGGAAGACCCAGGCGGTTAGTCACTTGGACTGGTCTCTAGAAAAATATGTGAGTATATGTTGGATTTTTATCAGACGGTCTTTTAAAGACATCATGGAGAGAACTGACAGCTGGTATCTGGGGTCTACTGGGAGAACGGCTAGAAGCCACCAACACCAAGCAGGACCATTGGGCATTGCCTAAAAATAAAAGATAAGTTAGTTACCCATGACCAATGTTGTATAGTTGACTACCATGAAAACATCAAAAGATAAAGTCATCAATGACCAAGACTACTTTAAAGTTTGATACTAACTACAGAATTCCAGATCCGTGAGACAAGAGTCCTCAAGGGGTCTCTTCTGATCCCTCCCCAACTGAAAAGTCAAACAAAGTACACTTAAACTAGGCTGGATAAAGCAATTATTTTTAATATAACATAGGAAGCAGAAGCTCACAGCTTCCTTGGGAAAAGATGGTTAGGTATAAGACAGTCACCTAATAACAAACTTCTCTGATAAAAATTAAACCCAATACCTGTCATGCTATTCTTAAGGCTTGAATATTTACGAAGCCTAATATTTTCATTAAAGTTATCTTTATTTGATCACCTCCCAATTCCACTCCCTTTTTCATTAGCTCCTACACAGAGCAGCACTACTTAATCACTTTCTTCTAAGCTGTTAAAACATACTCTGTAATTTTTTCCTGTACTTTATTTAATTACCAACACGAAGCATTACATGTCAGGCCATGAACTGGACAGAATATTCCTCAGCAGAGATCTTATCACTGCAGAAAAGATTAATCACCTCAAATGATTTGCAAAAATATTACTAATAGTGGTACACTCCAAGATGATATTTCTTCACTTTCAGCTGTATCACACAGCTTTGATTTGTGTCCTATTATAAATCTCAGGTACACACCCACAGTATTGCTGCCCTACCAGTTACTGCAGTTTTGTACATATATTCCTCTTTCCTAGTATGTTGTTTCCAATCTATTTTTTTATTTAATTGTTCTAAAATCACTTCTGAAATCATGCACTGGCCTCTAGAGCATCTACAGTCCTCCCAGACTGGTTAATATAGCCTCATAAAAGTATACAGCAGATGGGTGAGGGACAAGCTCCCATAAGATCCCAATCCACATATAATTCTGCTTTAAAAGCCAAATTTTACATTTTTTTAATTACTTTTCTACAGCCTCCAGTCTCTCAGGATGTCACAAACCTTCGGTAATTGTTACATTATAACCATTAAAATAGACTACTGCAGCTAGTTTCTTAAGAAACATCTGTCAAATCCTAGCAGCTGCAGAAGTTTATGGCACTAGCTTAGAAAGGAGGAAAGTGTTATTTGTGATTAACTCTTTGCCTGCATATGGCAGTTTCAGTTTCTTCCCTGACTTTCACAGGGAAGAAAATTCAAGGGTTTTTTTCACTTTAGGTTCTAACAGCTTTACACAAACAGTTTAAATGTTACTAGAGTTTAAAGTGCTTTCAGTTTACTAGTTTTATTTTTATCTCCACTGCAGCATATCATCTTTTCCTGCAAAAACTGATGACCAGTGACAGAATTGCTTTTTGTTGCTCAGCATAAGAGAAACGAGGTGCAAGCCTTATTGCCTTTGAAGCTGGGAAAAAAGTGGTGGGTTTTTTTTTTTAATGCTTAGCAGTTGTTAACAGGGTTTTTATTTCTAGAAATAAGCACCTAATAATTGATATTATTTGAGTCTCACCTGTATATTTTCCTCCCTGTCAGGCATTGGCCCGAAGTGCTGAAGAATCTGAGTGCGAAATTTGTTCCTTAAGTTTTGGAACCAACTGCAGGCCTGATTGTAAACAAAATTGTGAAGCTCTGTCAATTTCTTTAGTTCTTCTTCATCAGCAACCTATAGGAGGAAAGTTATGAAAATATGATTAGTGATAAAGAAACAATAAGGTGTTTAAACTAACATCAAAAAAAATTCAATTTCAACTATATTTAGATACACTTCTTGCTTTCTCCTAAACCTTGATTACTAATGACTGAATAGTAAAGAAATCGTGCAATATTTTTAAAGTTACAGCTTCAAACTACTGCTTAAACAAAAAAAACTATAGTATTTCTTAGTTGCTTTATAATAAAAAATTATGCTAGCTGCCATTTATTCCACGTGCTGGCACTGAATCTTCCAGCGGTCTAGGGACTGAAAAATTTGAAACAGAGCTCTTAAGAACAAATGAAGCAAAAATCTTCATATATTAATACTACTAAATATTTAGACAGCATTCTAGATACCTTAACATCTTCCAAATATTCAATGTCCGCAGTGCAATAACCATCTTTCATCCCTCTCTGTAAAACTCTAAATCTCTTTCCACCAACTGTATCAACAACAGACCGTCCGTCAGGTAGAAAATGAACATTCCTTATTTGCAGCATGCAACCATAATCTGCAAAACTACAAAAGAGACCTTGTAAGTAATTCAATTACACACTTCTGAAAGGACACTTTTTTAATTAAAAAAGACATAAGAGATGAGAAGCTCAGATTTAGAATGTGAACCTACCCATTTTGAGAATCACTTATGCACATCCCAAACTGCTTAGTTCCAGTTTCCATACTCCTGCGAATCATGAGTCGGTATCTTGGCTCAAATACATGTAGAGGGCAAGGCACAGTAGGATATGCCATAGTGCAAACAAACATGGGAACATTCTTGGTCAAGCTTCAAGAGAACATCAAATGAAATAAGTGGCTTCAAAATCTAAACACTGAGCTATGCCAAGATAAAACATTTTTTTCAGTATGTTTGCTATGTGTGAGGTCATAAAGCATGGGTAGGAACTTTCAAAGTTTAAGCACTTTGTATAAACTTTCATAAACACTAAAAACACGTAACAGTGACACAATACCTATGTACTGATTTGTATACACACTGGACAGTAAGCCTCATAGTTATCTAGCTACTGAGTAGAGTATCTAGTCAGTGAATGAAGGGCTCAGTTTTGGGGACAGGAGTGCTGGGTACTTTTTTCCTTTTTGTTTTGAGCCATACAAGCCATTATGTTCTCAGAAACGGTGGCATCAAGAGGATAGTGGCCAATGGCTGAGTCCCAGGGGATATCAGTGACAAGTGGTGGCCCTCAGGCATCCATATGGGGAGTTGCACTGTTTAGTATCTTCATTAATGACACAGATGAAGGGATTGAGAGCACCCTCAGCAAATCTGCTGACACCAAGCTGAGTGGTGTGGTTGACAGATCTGAAGGATGGGATGCCACCCGGAAGGACCTGGACAAGCTTCATACTCCTTCTTGCATCCATAATATACCATTATTAATAACCACAAAAATAAGAAAATATTTCTATAAAGGATTTCCATACTAATTTCTCAAGTTTCTCAAGACAGCAAGCTTACTTGGAGTGTTCAGCAGTTTCTTCAGCATGAATTCTTTTTCTCTCATATAATTCATCAGACAAATATTTCATTATTAATTCCTCCAGCAGTTCTGTGATACTGTATTTTCTACTTGCAAGGTACTGTAAGCAATTTCAAAAAACACATTAATATTTCTTTTCATATATATTAAAAAAACATTTCAGAAAATGCAGCTTATTTAAAAATATGATCTATGACGTGTCTTAAAACCCATGAAAACTTACAGCTCTGAAGTTCTTATGCTTCACTGCTTAACACCTAAGGATACTCCAATATTTGAAAATTACATTCTCTTCATGAGTTCTTAGTGTCTGACACATTTAGTGTCTAACTTGATTTGTAGTTCTGTGCTTACCAGAGACAGAACTGTTTTCCTAGGATATACAGACATACAAACAAGGGAAATGTACAGAAATCACAGAGAGATTTAACTGAATACTTACCAAAGTTTATGAATACTCAGGATTTAATTACACCAGTAGATGGTCACAGAAACATAAAACCCCTAAGACCCTGAAGCAAATCTAATCAACTTGTATTGAAAAAATTTGTCCCAAGTTTTTCCATTCTAGCAGCAACCCAAAAGCCAAGCAAAACCAAGTTATTGGGTTCAAGTGAAGCAGCCTTTAAAATTATACAATATTTGTATTTGTAAGCTTTACTGAGAAACAATACCTCTTTCAAGCTCTCCTTACAGAGTGGACACTGTGGAGCATGATCTAAACATCGTTCCAAACAACCTTTGCAAAAAGTATGTCCACAAGGGGTTGTCACTGGCTCAAAGAATAGCCTGAAACAAAATTATTAGAAGTTAGATCCTATGGCCAGCATGTCTTTTGCTAAAAGAGTCAATGATTAACCTCTTTAAAAGACTAGCTATACTACAATAAAGCAGAGAAAAATTAATTCCATGTCTCCTTATTCTACTTTTTCCTCTATACTGCAGTTTGTTTCCATTTACTTCATCACTCATTTTTTTGTTTTCTGATGGATCTGGACACATTCCAGCACTTTAAGTACCTAAACATTTATCCCAAAACACAGTTTTTGGTCTCGCTAGAGATTCAGAATACACAAAATGGAGTGATTCTTTGACAAGCTAAGTTGTTCTACATAGCAGTATTACATACTAGTAACATAACTATGGATAGTTTAGTATACACCATATGTTTTACAGTATTTATTCTGAAAAGCAAGACAATTCAATAAGAGACTTCAAATACATCAGCTACATTTAAGTAAACTAACATTCTAAAGCATCTACATCTCCCAGACAAATACGAGGTTCACAGGTAATACTTCTGAGAATTAGCCTTTCCAAAATAATACTTTTATTGACTCAAAAACCCCCTAACATTTAACAACAAAAGACCCTGTACTTTTATGGTTACCAGTTAACAATGCCAAGTTTAATGTAGAAGGCAACTTGATTAAAATAGTCCTATAGTATATAGTGCTGTAGCAGGTGACATTTAAATAAACACTTAATTTCAGGGATAGAGAAAAGGTGCAATTATTGACTGATAGCAGAATTCATAACAACCTACAGTTCATACACGTAACAGATATGTGCCAAGCATCTGTAACAGAAATACTGCATCAAGGACAAAATCTTACCTCATACATAGAGAGCACTCAAAATCTGATACATCAATCAAATCCCCAGGAATTGTTCCAAAGGCCAGTGTCACATCCCTTTTTGTACTTTCTAAAGAAAAGCAAGACAAAATACTCCTTGAAAAAAAGGTACAAGGCAGTAAATACTTTAAATTTCAAAGTAAGTGACTGTTTACCTCCTTGCTTTTTGTGTTTGTTTCTTCCATCTTCACATACAACTGCATCCTGTTCTGAAAAGGAAAGCTTTCTTTTTAACAAAGCACTTTTTCCTTGGCCAGAGAGAAGGGGTTCAGAAGACACTCTCTTTAAGCCATCTTCCTTGGCAAGGTCTTTTGTTGAATTAAGAGCATGGGCAGACTGTGCACGATTTAAGCCTCCACTGACAGGCTTCAGTACATCTGATCCTCCTGAACTCTGTAATAGTGAGATGAACTGAACTGTATTTTAAGAGTAACACAAATCTAGGTATGTAAGATGTGACCACGCAAAGATATATAAGCCAAACTGATACCCACAGTTAGTTCATTAGTTATTGAGAGAAACTTGTAAGTCAAGACAGTACTCAAATTGGCTTAGCATTACCAATTTAACAATCTTCATCTGCTTCAAAGAGAAGAAAAATTGTATTTCTCTTTATTTTGAAGTCCCTGATATCAAACTTAAGTACTACTTTATTACTTGTTGCAGCTCACTAGAGTGAGGAGTTTTAACACTACAAATGAAAATATATTCCTCCCAAATCATGACTCTTTTCCTCCAATTCAATCACAGAAAGTCAGTATTTACACTGGAAAGTAAGACGAATCAGGGTATCAGCACATCCAATGTTTGCATATCAGCCAACAACAAAAGTTATCCTAGAATTTTTGTTACCTGCTGAGGACAGTTTTGTAAGTTGCAGTAAGATGCAGTCACCTCAGAACCAAGCAGAAAAGGTTTATTTCGAATATGGACTGAATTCCAAGCAGATTCCTTCAAACTCTCACCTAGCTTCTCTGGTGACAAAACATCACACAATGTCTAGAAAAAATAGCTAAATGTCAATAATAAAGAAAAATAATCAAGACATACCTTTGTAATAAAACTACATACCAAAAGTAAGAAGTAAATCTCTGTGAAGTTATCCTCATAAACAGAACTTTATTTAAGCAGTAACTGAGAAAGCAGAGTTGAAAACAAGCAGAAACCTACATACCTACACTGATAAAAAGAAATTTACCTAGAAATCTTTTCTACTACAAGCTAGTGAGCTCTTCAAACAGAGTTATACATTATCAATTCAGTATTATGCTTTTTTTCATTATAAATTTTTATTATCAAAGAAAACCTGTTGTGCTCTGGGCACAAAAGATTTTGACTTAGAAAATTTAACACGCTGCCTGCTTTGCAGTTTTCTAGATATTCATATAGTAACTTCAAAAGCATATGTACTTTTAAACATGTATTTAAAATGCATACACTGGGAATATCTCTTCAGTGTAGTATGATTTAAGATATATCTTAAAAGTAATCTGCCATCCAAACTGTCTCTGCATGTAATGAACATTTTAGATGCTCAAAGTCTACCACAATGGGAGCTTTATAAAGGAAACAAACCAGAGACAAGAATCCAGTATCATGAATACCTTTTCTACTTCTAGCTTGGCTGGAAGAAAGTCCTCATCAAGGGCTAAGCACTGTAGAAACAGCTGTAAGGCATCACCTACAAAGCCAGAGTCTTGCAGCACTTTTCCTTTCCGGAAGTAGACCTGAGAAACAGATACCACGAAGACATTTCTAGAGAGTATGTTGAACTGCAGTACTGATCTTACAGGCACTGCAACAGTTAGAATTAGAACCTGCCGCGACAAAAAGAATGTAGCTCTTCAACAGTGCACAGTGTGGATAATCCATATGCCCTGTCTAATATACATATGCTAGTGTCTGAAAAGAGTCATGGAATAGCCTGGTGTGAGTCTTCTTCCAGTTAATTTGATCTGGCTTATACAAAAGGGTTAAAAACCTGACTAGCGCTTAATGCACAAAAGGCCTTGGTTTCCCTCTTCTGGGACCCTCTGGAGAGGAAGAAGGGGGACAAGAAATGCAAATTATTACATAACCTCACATAACAGCTCACAGGATACCCTTTTTTGCCTCTCTTTCATTAAAAGCCTTATGGTTCCAGCATGTAGGAAAAGATGGACTACGAACAAAACAACCCACACAACTGTGCATCCCTTACGTTCATCTCAATCTACATTCTTAACACAAAACAATGCATTTTTGGAGTTGCTTCCTCCAACTATATTTTATGCTTGAGCACTAGATAGCAACAGGAAAAAAAAATCTGTATATTATTTGGTCTGAAAAAAAAAGGTGGAAGAAAAACTACTGAATTTTGCTAAACTTAGTTGTAACTAGATGATGTTGGGACTAAGAACTTATCTCAGTTTTTAAAAGTTGCACTGGCAGTAATATAAATAGTTAGATAAAACAAACAGTTATCTAATAAAAGTTAGTTAAAACAACAATATCTATCTGTATACGAGAATTTGGATAATGGGCCAGAAACTAAACTTCAAAAACAAACAAACAAACAAACAAACAAAAACTCCAACCAAACAACAAACAAACCCCAGAGTACAGTTTCTACAGGATGAATGACTGTATGAACAGTAGCATCTGTTCAACAAGACTTCGAGATGAGGGCATGCATCCTCTTTGATGAATTTGGGCAGTTTCAATTAAGATGTATTCTGAAGAAGGGAAGCATGCTAATCCTCCTCTTACAGTTAATTTTCCTTCAGAGATAAGGATTGTTATAGGAATCCATCCATCAAACCAAGCTCAGTTAAACAAAGTGAGGCTTCTTTCCAAACATACAGAAAAAAGTAGACAACGCTACCAAGACTGAGACATGAAAAGCAGGAGGGCTTTATGAATTTGCAGTAGCAACTGAACTGCTGAACACAGGACAAACCAAGACAGCAGCAATGTCCCCTCATGTGGCAAGATATTGCTGCTCCTGCTGCGCTCAGTTTAGACAGTGCTACAATGTGCAGCATCGTAAGGGTTCTGAAGACCACTGACTCCCCAGCTGCCTGGACTATTTGCAAAGCTCAGTGCCCACTGAGATTCTTTGGGCTTTTTGAAGAAAAACTTCCAAGAAAAGTATCCTTCTGTTAACAAAAATTAACAAATAAACAAAAGAAGCCCCAAACCCCAGCTGTTACTGATTACATCACCATAAACCATCCCAACTCTAAGTATATTTATCAACCAGCCCTAACCTGCCATACTCATCAGTAGCTAGTCTCATACAAATTAACTATTTTCAATGTGCCTTTTAGCATTTTGCACGTCTCACAAAATAATGTTTAAAGAAGCTGACACAGGTTTTTAAACAATTCAAGTATAATTTAGAATTCATTAATTTTATAGACAAACACAGTATTGGAAAATGATGAGCTCATACCAACTTACCTCTGGCCAATTTGGCATTTTAGAAATAACAAAATTTAGCTCTTCTATGGCTGTTTTATATTCTTGGAGGCCAACATATGACTCAGCTCTGTAAATCCTAAGCATCAAGTCATTGGAATCTGAAGACAGAAATTAGGTAACATTTTTAAAAAATCAGAAATTTGTAATTAGATTTGCTTTCATAGTGATATCACATAATTACAATATTTGTAAAATACTTCCAAAATTACTGGAGTACATTCTCCCCTAACCCCTAGTGTTTGGGTAATAGAAGTGGCAGTAATTCCAGGTTCATGTCTTTTAAGCTAAGGATCAAATTTTGGATCTTCTAATGTATATTGCAGCAACAAGAAAATATATTTTCAAATATCAGAAAGGCTGACAAAGTACTGTTCTGCACTACTGTGACAACAAAAACTGCAGACCAAGTCAACTTTATCTTTACAGTACATCTAATCAAAACCATAGGAATCTGGGAATTCAGCACATTTGTATTAAAAGCCTAAGCATTACACAGTTTGCTTTCAAATGCCCAAGTTTTGCTGTAGACTGTAATTTGTTTTTATAATGCCCAATTCCCTCCAACTATGGCTGGAGATACAGATGCCACTTTCCCAGCAGTATCCATTTAGGAAGTACCAGAAGTAGGCTTTATCACTATGTGACCAAAAGAGATAGCCAATACCAGAAAGCCTTTAACACCAGCTGGCAGCCCTGTTGAAAGGAGCTGCACTAATGGAACTTCTACAATGGGGAAATGGCAGAACGTGTTCAGTATGGACAAGTTCTCATGTCCAACATACAGCATTTTGCACTTTCAGTACAGCAACCTCCAAATGGGAAGCATACCCATCTCCATGCCACTAAAACTATGGTTTTGTAACACAGCTAAGTGCAGTTGCTGCTTAGAAAATATGCCAGCACACTACTTTGTTATTGATTGTTTTTAAAAATGCACCTGTTTTTCACTGAGTGAGATAAACAAGCCAAACCTTGGTCTACTGTAAACAATACTAAAATCAAATAGTCCTTGAATTTTGTTTCAACAAGGCTTTCCTGGGAGGCGATCATTTCAATTAGCCTATTCTAAATGTCTAGTATAAACTTTCATAAATTTCCAACATTAGCCTGTTTTACATTTAAAAGTCAGCCTGGTCAATGTTCCCATATATTCCACCACATCACTTTGTATTTAGATCCACAGTGCTACATGTAAAAAGATCTCAATGGAAGAGAAAGGGTTAAGAAAAAAAATCACAGAAGAATTCACAGCTGAAAATAAAGTGTCTTCTTTAACTGTCTTTGGAGTTGTCAGTTTCCCTTGAAATACAAATATTGCCAAACCTGCTTTGTTTCATTTTTATTTTAGACATAATAAAATGTTTGTTTTAACAGAAGTCTGGGAAACTCTCTAACTCAAACACTAATTCTGCAAGTAGAACAACTCTGAGGCCTGGTTTCCTGTGGCTTTGTGTTTTGTGACTGCTATAGCCTAGGAAGGTAAGAGCTCAGATCAGACTCTTCAGAGTTTTATGTGTATTTGGCTCTGGTGTCCAGCAGAGTTAGTATCAAACCAAATTTCTTTCTTCAAAGGTAGCAGTAAGTGCAGGTCTTTGTTCTCTGATAAGCTGCCTATTTGTACAGAATCAGAGGAAGCGCATCTTTTTCAGACTTTCAAGTGTAGAACATGACCTGAGGGACTCCAAGCCTTTTTTCCTAGGGGAAGAATGAGGGGTGGTTTGAAGATAAAAATGTGAGTTCAAGTCTACAGCAGGTGGACATTTTATACACTTCTTTTTCAAAGACAAATGCATGATTCCAACTGAACTGGTACAAAACAAAGGAGTTTAGCTGGAACCTCAACTCGCTGCTGAACATACAAACACTGCCACTGAATGATCAATACATGTAACAAACTGGAGCTAAATATTTCCAAGAAAAAAAAGCCAGACGAGTACAAGTCATGTTCCTCAGGGCTTGGTATTGGGGTCAGTCCTTTTAATGTCTTCATCGATGATCTGGACAAGGGGATCAACTGCACCCTCAGTCAGTTTGTAGACAACACTAAGTTGGGTGGGAGTGTTGATTTACTGGAGGGCAGAAAGGCTCTGCAGAGAGATTTGGACAGGCTGGATCGATGGGCCAAGGCTACTGGTATGAGGTTCATCCAGGTAAAGTGCTGGGCCCTGCACTTAGACCACAACAACTCCATGCAGAGCTACAGGCTTTGGGAAGAGTGGCTGGAAAGCTGCCCAGTGGAAAAGGACATGGGGGCAGTGGTTGACAGTTGGCTGACCATGAGCCAGCAGTGTGCCCAGGTGGCCAAGAAGGCCAATGGCATCCTGGACTGTATCAGAAATAGCGTGGGCAGCAGGCTGTGATTGTTCCCGTGTACTCGGCCTTGGTGAGGCCACAGCTTGAAACATGTTCAGTTTTGGGGTCCTCACTGCAAGAAAGGCATTGAGGGTCTGGAGTGTGTCCAGAGATGGGCAACAAAGCTGGTGAAGGGTCTGGAGCATAAGTCCTACAAAGAGCAACTGAGTTTAACCTGGAGAAAAGGAGGCTCAGGAGGGACCTTATCGCTCTCTGCAACTACCTCAAAGGAGGGTGTAGCAAGGTGGGGGCTGGCCTGTTTCTTCTCCCAGGTAACACTGACAAAATGAGAGGAAAGAGCCTCAAGTTGCACCAAGGGACTTTTAGTTTGGCTATCAGGAAAAATTTCTTCACCAAAAGGGCTGTCAAGCACTGAAACAGGCTGCCCAGGGCAGTGGTGGAGTCACCATCCCTGGAGGGACTTAAAAGACACTCAGATGTGGCACTTTAGGGACATGGTTTAGTGTGGACTTGGCAGTGCTGGGTTAACGCTTGGACTTCATTATCTGAAAGGTCAATTCTAACAATTTCAACCTAAACAATTCTCTGGTTCTATCTAAATTTATATATCCAATTTTGTAAACATAATTTAATTTTTAGGCTTTGTAACCATGAAAAAAACATTTCACAATGTTTCAGCATATATTTTAATGTTTGCCACCCAAAGAGAGGATCCAAACTAATTTCAAATCTCTAGACCAAAGACTATAAACAAGAGAAACACAACTAGTGCTTGAATTTCAATTTCAGTAACCAAATATATTGTAAATCCCAAAATGCCTCACTTTAGCGTACCTGAAGACAAATGATTTTAATGAAAAGAAGACACTAAGTACTTGTAGGGTAGAACTGTATTCCTTGTTATTATTACATTAACAGGAAAGTGTAAAGAGGTGTACACACAAAAACTCACTCAATATGCATTCTTGGTTTTAATATTATTTCCAAAGCATCTGCTCCTGGCTAATGTCAGTATAAACTTACCAACAAAGGAACTACCTCTCGTGGATCCTGCCTGCTTTTTATATGGTTCTTAATAATATACCAAATTATTCAAAATAAAAGACATGCACATCACAACCACTATGTAGAAAAACTTTAGGACATAGTATTTATTGACACAGTACTACAGGATCACCCTAACTATCAGGGTTGGAACACACAACCCATAAGAAGAGGCTGAGAGAACTGGGTTTGTTTAGCAGAAAACAATTCCCGAAGGTATCAGGAGAACACAACACCTTTTCAGAATCCAAAAGTGGGTTACCTAGAGGACTCTGAAGTGCACAGTGGAAAAACAAAAGAGACAATGGTTATAAACTGAAATAGACTTGAAATAAGGAGAAAAATTTTCACTATGAGGATAATTAACCTCTGAGCAGAGAGGCTGTGGAATCTTCAGCCTGTAGGTTTTCATGATTCAATACAAAAACTCAAAAAACTTAAGCACACTACTCCAATCTCAGTATTTGTTCTGCTTTGAACAGGAGACTGATTGCCCAACAGACCTCCTGAGGCCCACTCCAGCAGGAACAAGTCTGAGATTCAGACCAAACTCAAGCCCATTAGCTGCGTTTTTCAGGACACTTGATTAAAGGCAAGTAGCATTTGTATTTTAATTCAATATACTTCCTTTAATTAAACTATTTTGTTTCAAACCCTGCAAGGAATATTTTAACCATATGAATATGTTAACATTACTCATGTTTTTCAAAAGTCACTTCTGCACCACGGGAAACAGGTCTGTTTCAAATGTTTCAAGAAATGTAGAAGAGTTATGAAAGATACCTTTTTGAGTAAACTTTTAGCATCAATGCCTTATTTAAGACATCAGATTTATGTTTATCGCAATTTTTTAACTATTTGCATTAAAAAGAAATAGATGAAGCAGCAGTAAGGAAACACTGAAACAGAACATGAACGATTTTAAACGTTAATACACTTCTTAAGCCACATCTTTTCAATCTCTAAGTTTTTTCAAGATTCATGTTCTGGAGGAAGATTGAAAGTGTATCAGCAGCTATTAATTTGTTATCTGTTGGCCTGAAATCACCTTCGATTTGTAGTTGTGAGCCCACACCTCTAAATTCACATTTAATGTATGTCTGCACTCTGACTCATGAAGTCCTTTAATATCATTACCAGAATATAGTTCTCAGGAGGGGAGATACAGGAAAGAATTGTACAACAGATCTTAAACTGAGCTTCTAGCACTTAATTCTAGCACGTGTACTGAATTTAAATAATAAAATTTTGATTAAGCATCACAGCTGGTAGCTATTCTTACATTTTAAACCCATTTTAAAGCCAAAATTAAAGATGGAGATTCACATAAAAAGGAATCAAAATTCTTTCCCCACAGTTATCTACATAATATTGCTAAATCCATAAAAGAAATAGTAACAAAAACTGTATAATTAATTGCCTCTTTTATTCTTTCAAAGCAATGCTAAAACATGAAGTAGGATCCCTGTAAACATTTGAGATCAATAATGGATTCATCACTTTTACCCTGAAGGCCACTGAGCGACCTCTGTGACTCAATGCTGAACTTCAGGAAAGAAGTCTGCATCTTATAGTTCCAAGATTTAAAATAGATCAGCCACGCTCTCAGGTCACATCCATCCTATATCCTACACTTTAGAAACACCCTGACAAATAGACTTGGTGGCCAGAAGTGAACCTCTTTAAATCAGGTTGCCAAAAAGCATATAAAATAGATCTTCAATTTAATCTCACCGATATTAGGAACAGCTTATTCTGGAACTAGATCTAATGTATCTCCCCAGAACAGATTGGAAGGATTAGACTTATGCAAGCTTTTGGGTTTTTTCCCTCCGCTGCAGACAACTGTATAAACGTAATATGCTTAACCTGTAAAAATATTAATTCCTAAATTAATGAACAGGAAAAAAAAACGGCTACAAATCAAAATGGAACCCCTCAGGTCACCAGGTGATAAAATTCAGTCGAATAAAAACAACAGAGGAATCTGTCACTGGATCCATCTAGGTGTATCGATCACACAAATCTGACTCCCTCTACAAAGACTAAACTCTGAAAAACTGACGGTATCTCAAATGTCCATGGCACCAGACACATATATTGTGACGGATACAGGATAGCCTAAAAGCATGCCTCTACCTTCCCTCTTTGCACCCTCTTCCAACACTATATAAAACTCCAACCACACCCACCTATGATGTCACTGCCATTACACAACCTGTCCCCCTCCATGCCTGTCTGCTTATGCAACTGGGCCCGGCCTGCTGGGAATTGTCTTGGTGACACTTAAGACTGAAAATAGGTCTCTCTCTCAGGAAACAAGGTTAAATACACCAACTGCATTTCCCCTGACCGCGCACAGCGATTACTAAACACGAAACGAAGCTGAGCCCACAAGCTCCTCTGTAAACAAGTCCCACACGAACGTGCCGGGGGAGGCACGAAGCAGCGCATGTGGGACGCTCCCCCACACCTCCGGAGTAAGTGCGAGTAAGTGTACCCCAGTGCCAGGCCGGGCGCTCAACCAGGGACCGACCAGCTACGCGTGCCCTCCACTCCGCTCTCCCAATGGAGAGGTTCCTCGAATCCCCTCAAACTCGAGAAAACTTCGGACGTTTTTTACCGGCCCGTTTAGGTCCATAACGGACTTGAAGCAGGTGAGGGAGGGCACACCCACGTATTCCACTACACTCCCAGCCCCCTGAGCCTGCCGTGCCCAGCCACCCGCCCGTCCCGGTCCCGCCGAGACACGGGCGGAACTTCGCGGCTCCGGCGGGCGGAGGAAGGGAGCGCTCCCCTCCCCTCCAGCCTTACCTGCTCGCAGGGCCTGGCTGGCGGCGCCCAGCGCCTCTCGGAAGCGGCCCTGGGCCAGCAGCTCCTCCAGCCGGCTCCCGGCCCTCGCCCTCTCGCACTCGCCCGGGAACCACTTCTCCGCCAGCCGGTTGAGGACAACGCTGGTGCGCATCGGGGCCGCGGCCGTGCTGGTGCCCCCCGCCGGCAGCAGCCAGTCCCGGCAGCGGCGGCAGCGGGCCCGCAGCTCCCTGCGGAGGCAGCGGCGGCAGTAGGTGTGCCCGCACGGGACGGTCACCGGCTCGCCCAGGAACCTCCCGCAGCCGCAGCAGCGCAGCGGCCCCTCGGCCTCGCGCTCCCTGCCCCGGCCCGGCCCCTGCCGCAGGCGGTAGTTCAGCACCAGGCAGTCCACGAGGGTCCCGAGACGCTGCGCTCCGCCGAGGGGGCCGAGGCACAGCGACGCCAGGGACGCGCCCACCGCTTCCTTCAGGCGGCTCGCGGGCACCAGTCGCGCCAGCAGCAGCTCCCGCTCCCCGTCCGCCCCCTCGCCAGGGCCCCCGCTGCCGCCCGGCTCCGGCGGCAGCTCCGAGCCCACAGCGACGGCGGGAGAGGACGCTGCCATCGGCTGCGCGGCTGCGGCGAGGGGGGTGTGGCGCTCCCGCTCCGGACGCCGGGATCGGCTCCGGGCTGGGCGCGGGCGGGGGGCGGGAGGAGGCGGGAGGAGGTTACAAAACACCGCTCCACGCGCGCGCCGCCAACGGCGCGGGGTCACGTGGGGGGACGGGGCGGGCCCGTCCGGGAACGCCCGTCCAGAGGGTGCCGGTTCCCACGTAACTCCCACAGCCTGCCCGGCGGCGGGGAGGCAGGGAGTGAGCGCCTTAGCGGGGACGGGGGGAGTTTGCCGGGGAAGAGGGACAGCCCTACGAGCTCCGGGTTGGCTACTGGGAGCGGCTGCTGTGGTGAGGGTCGGGCGTTAGCAGGGCTGTGGGGGAGGCAGGGATACAGGGATAGAGCCGCCGGGGCGGGGAGGGGGGTCTCCAGCGGGGAACGGGCGTGTGTAGCTGCCGTGGTCCCGGAGGCATCGCCCGGCGGGTGCCCGCACTCGTCTCGGGCCGCTTAGGCTGGCCCCCTTCCCTTCTGTGTTAGTCTTTTAATGGAGGACACGATAAGATAAAAGTTACGAGGTTAAGGAAAAGCTCTTTGTCCTTAGGGTTTGTGCATTATCCCCTCTGTTCCCAGCCCTCGCAGGTCGGGCTCGGATGCGCTCGCTGCCGCGGACCCGTCAGAGCCTGGCCGGGCAGCGAGGCTTGGGCTTTCCGCGAGTGTGGAACGGCAAGTCGAGCTCTTCTGGTGAAGTGCCTCATCTGTTCCGCCTAAAGTAGTCACAGTGGGGAAATGTTTAGGTTTTTCAGGTGTATGTCATTCTCTAATGAAAGCTTGAAGCCTATTGCACAAGTGCTATGTATTTATAGTTGTTACAATGCTTTTTTTAAAAGTTAAAAGGCTGTCATAAATCCAGACGTTTCAGATAAATATAGCAGTACCTTTAAATTAATTTATGGCCTTTTGAAAGGAACAAAGCTATATTTGTATTCCATCTATGACAGGCTGTAAGATGATGCTGAATGTTGTTAAGAGAGCTATAGCAAAGATGCCATGACTGGAAATAACCAGACACACCTGGATTTACATCCAGGTGTTTTGTCTGAATTCAACCACTCTAAGCTACATCCTTTGCCTTTACAGTGTCTTTCAAGTTCCTAAAGTAAAAGATAAAAGATGTCATGGTAATTGAAATATGAGGAGACTGTGAGTATATTTTAAACACGGACAGGAGAGATAGTCTCTTAGAGTAATTAATTAAAAAATGGAGTGAGTTAAGAAATTACACTCTAAGTATCAAAAAGATGTTTATAGTATGAACTTGAATGGTGATGGGATGATGTAAAGTGCTTTGAATTATTATAAATGGTTTTAATGGGTTATGGATTCTGGTGTGGACATGCAAGTGTGAGTTGACCTCACAAAGTATCAGGGAGATAGCCAGAGAAATTGGACAGAAGTAAAACTCTGAACTGTTAAAGAGAGCAATAGTTTATTTTGCATTTCAGATTAGATTACCTATGGAAATAGAGTAGAAAAATAAAACAGGACAAAGTTCAAGGGCCTGTGGGACTGGCAGTAGGATAGTCAGGTTGTCCTCTGCAGGAGAAATTTAAAACAATAGAAATGAAAACCTGTTTCCACCATTGCTACTTCCGATGATTCCTATAAAAGTTCATATATTAGGATTTACACTGATGATTCAAGCAGTTATGAGTATAATGAGCAAAATCAGCTATTTTTCTTAATTTCTAGTGAGCAAAATACTCATGGCTTTGCCAGCCTTGAGGTTTTGCAGTGCGAGAGTTGAGGTTTTTCCCATCTTTCTCTTCAAAACTGAAACAGTGAAAGAAGGAATTTGGAGTAGGATGAATGAATAGATGGGAACCTGACATTTTACACAGCTCTAACCAGTCGTAGAGATGTCAGGAATCTGGGAGATTATTTCGGGAGAAATCTGACTATATATTCACCTTGTCCTTGTTCTCTAGACATTAATTTTTATCCCTGTTGGAAATGGTACTGATCCTAGTAGGACCTTGGTATTAACCAATGCTGACATTCTTATATCTTTAAGTAACAGTTGATTCTTCAAGCTTTGGTTTTGGTTTATTATTTTACCTTTGGCATATTTTACTGAAGAAAAAAGCCACCTCAGTTTTCACATCTTTCACTGTGTTACCATCAAATGTGATAGTTATGTAAGAGAGGAAAAAAAGATATGCAACTTTTTACTAGATTAGATAACACACAGCTCCACCACCACTGCATTAAAAATAGCGCACACAAAAATCTCCCCTCCCCCCCTTGCAGGGTCAGATGAGTGGTACTTTAAAGCAACAAAACCTTGCGACTGTGCAGTTCACATGGGCCATTCTAAGAAAGATGTCAGGGATTGCCCTTTCTCTTCATGCCATAGAGCAGTATGGTGCTGCTGCTTATGGAAGTCTTGGTTGTTCTCATTCGGAAAGTTACCTACAAAGTACTGTGCCTTCAGTGAGGCAGATGTACATTCCTTTCCTACCCTTTTTGAGCTATTGATTGGATGTTTTCCCAAGCAATTCCTTGTGTGAGCAGGGTGTGCAACCCAGTTAAACTTGAGATGACAATAAATTAGTGATTCAAGTTGTGTTTGACTCTGCTTTAGGTAAATTACATGCAATGATTCTGACTTAAGATCTTCAGAAATAAACAGCAGTATAAACAAAATGAAGCAAACCCAACCCAGGCTAAGGGGATAAGCAGTGGACCTAGAAATTAATACCTACATACTGAAAATCTGGAGCAGAGCCCCATTTTTACAGCGCCTCAACATATATCCCAAGAAACAGAGCAGGTAAAGGGTCTTATGAGGAGCAGCTGAGGGTAGTAGAGTTCATCCCAGAGGCTGGTCTTTCCAAAAAGAAAAGAAATTTAAACAAACAAAACTTATTTAAGACTTTCTTTTTCTTTTGGCAAAGGCAAGAATTTTAGCATTTTTATGACATTTTTTAAATGCAGTGATTTCTGCCACACAAACCCACTGTCTAAATAAACCACTAAATAGTCAAGTGCTTGTTGGGATTTTCCTTCAGCATGAAATGTGAATTCTGCTTCTTAGCGTCATAATATGGCAATTGCCAGTGGATGAGGGAAAGGATGTGGATCCAGTCTGCCTAGACTTTAGTAAAGCATTTGATACCATTTCCCACCATTCTCCTGGAGAAACTGGACGAGAAATGGCTTGAACTGGTGCACTGTTTGCTGGGTTAAAAACAGGCTGGATGGCCAGGCCCAGAGAGTAATGGATGTAAATGAAGTTACATCCAACTGGCAGCCAGTCACTAGCAGTATTCTCCAGAGCTCAGTGCTGGGACAAGTTTGGTTTCATATCTTGATCAATGCTCTGGGGGTTGGGGTTGGTATCTTCTCTCAAGAAACAAGCAATAGGACAAGTGCAAATGGCCTCAAATTGCCCAAAAGGAGGTGTAGAATTGGCTTAAAGGAAAACTTTCTTCAGTGAAAGGGTAGCCAAGCATTGGAACAGGCTGCCCAGGGCAGTGGCGGAGTCACCGTCTCTGGAGGGATTTAAAAGACATGTAGATGTGACACTGAGGGACATGGTTTAGTGGTGGCCTTGGCAGTGCTGGGTTAACAGTTGGACTTGATCTCAAGGGTCTTTTCCAACTTAAATGATTTTATGGTTTTGTGTTCCCTCTGCTTGGGACCTCAGGTCCCCACCACTTTGACAAGAGAGACTTAACACAGAAAGAGATGTCAGGGCATGCATCTACCTGCTGCTCCCTCTTTTTGCCTCCGGAAGGCTTCAGCAAGAAGGCACATTGGTTCTGCATAGGCCAAATTACAGAAGTATGTTAGCCATATCAGTCCTGGCACATATTCAGCAAGGCTAAGGAAAGCTTGAGGACATGTTTTGAGACCCAGACACCTTGTGCAGTACACATGTTTCTGGGAGGCATGATCCACAGTAGACTGCTCCAGTGGGCTCTTCTGAATCGGGGGGGAAACCTCAGGGGAATGTTGAGATCGGTGCCCCAGAATGGCCTCCCCAGTCCTCTCACTTGCATTGCAGTGGGCAAGTTGTTCATCAGAGACAGGAGCTGCAGGATCTTTCCCACTTGTGCCAGGGACAGAGTTGGTATTTGGTTTGATTGTCAGAGTTTGGAGGGTTAAGTCCTGCCCTGGCAGATGGAATCCAAGAGGAGAAGAGGGAAGAGGAGTTTTATCTCTTCCCAGGGTCATGTCTGGAGAAAAGGGGGCTCAGGGTAGAGCTTCTCTCTCTCTACAACTCCCTGAAAGGAGGTTGTGGTTAGGTGGGAGTTGGTCTCTTCTCCCAGGCAACTAGTGACAGGACAAGGGGAAATGGCCTCAAGTTGCAATGGAGGAGATTCAGTTTGGATACCAGGAAGAATTTCTTCACTGAAAGGGAAGCATTGAAACTGAAAGCATCGGAACTGAATGCATTGGAACAGTGTCTTGGTTTGAGACAGTTTGGGGGGGTGCAGACTTTGAACAGAAGTCTCCTCCCTCTGATTCAATACCCCTGGTTTCTCCAATATAGACGGAGACCAAATAGGCCCAGATGTAAGTGAAAAAATAACTCTTTACCAAGAAGAATGATAATAATGATATTGATAAAACTGGGTTAAACCAACTGGTGAGGAGAAACTTCCCAAGCTCTGGCCACTGAACCAAATCAAGATGGCACCTGGCCTCCCCCACATGGAGAAAACACACCTGGCCACTGGACGAGACAAGATGGCTGCCCTTCCATGTGGTTTGCCTCTCTCACACCCAGAAAACCTGACAGGAATGGTTGGAGGGTCAGTGCTGTCAGGAAACAGCAGATACCTGGGTTTTGATACCGGCAGACACTTGTGTGGCACTGCAGTGAGGCTGCAGTGCTGGTACAGGCAGTCAGAGCAGGGCTGCAGACCCCCCAGGGGACTGGAAGAACCTGCAAGACACCTGTTGGATCCAGAGATGAGACTTGGTTGTCACAATTTCTGTATTTGTTGGTCGAAATGGTGGTCACAGTCCAGGTCTGTTGAGGCAGTCTGGTAGAAGTCCCAGATAGTCAGTAAAGTCCTGTGTGGTGAGGAAAGAAAACCAAGTGTTGAGTGAAATCTAAGTGTGGTCTTTTAT